TGTGAGCTCGGAGTCTCGGCTGCCGCGGAAAGTCTGATGCGAATCTGGCAATCCAAAGGGATGAATTCGCGTGGAAAATTGAAATAGCTGGGGAAACAGTGGAAGATGAGCAAGGGGAAAAGAAAATTAATGAATTTCGGAAGTGAAATCGTTTTGCTGGTTTTATTGAGTGTCGCGAAAGTGATATTAAAACTGATTTGATTGATTTAATTTATCTTAATATCGATCGTCTAATCCAGGTAATTTTAGAATCTAATTTTTGGATTAGTCAAATTATTAACTTTAATATATATGTATATTGCATCTCGTTGCTGCGAAGTGAAGGCGAACATTGCTGTCACCGAATAAGATTGATTGGAGAAGCTAATAAATAGTTAATAAATCGAAACGTTCCTATTAAATCGGAGCTGCCGAAGAAAATAAGATAGTATCCGATAAAAATCGTTGATTGGTGACAAAGAAATGGGTAAAGCTCACTTTAGGAAGAAAATGGAAAGGGAAGGGGACTTGTTCACGTTTAATTTATTCCTTGGATCATCTTTAGGACGATCTTTACGTTGAGCGCTTCCGAAGAACAAGTCTTATCGGAGTGTTGATTAAAATTACAATCTTAATAGGTTCGCGTGCAAGATTTGCATAAACAAAATTTACATTTGCACGCTAATTATTCATTGTTGCTACTGTTAATCTTATCTATCTTCGTTGATACCGAAAATAGCTATACAGAACGCATAAAAAATCTTTTGCACTCATTATGTGTAAATTTTATGAGGAACTAAATTGATTTAATTGATATCAAAGTATCTGATTATCGAATTGTTATAGAAATCATTGTAATGAAATCGTTGTAAGTCTGCTAAAAATAATGACACGTGGTTGGTGATATAATTATTTGAATTTATTTCATATAGAAATTTAGCACCTAAGAGTCTGGTTGCCTGAGGAATTCGCTATGATTCTCTTAATTTGTCGTTTATTAATATGCACTCGGCTTATATTAATGTATTGTAAATTGATTTATTTTTATATAATTTTTATAATTAGGAGAATAATTATAATTAGGAGAAGATCAAAGATAAGATGATACAAGTGACACGAATGTGAGAAAAATTCGTAACGGATTATAGAAGTTATTTTCTTTCGAAAGAATCACGTTTTATCTCGGCTCAACAGAGCCTCACGTGCGGTCGCTTTCATCTGTTCTTCATTCGTCTCTCCGTTTGTTTATCAGCTACGTGGCGTATTATCAGCCACCAGTAATGCCGAGCCACCAATAATGAAACGGCACCTTCGTCAGTTGCCGAAGTGCAGTCTTATCATCTCGCGTCACGTCGCGTTTCGCTCTACCGCTTGTTCGGGAAAAATGAAATCGAGAAGGAAATCGATAAGAAGCAGGGAAAGGAAAACGAGGAAAATCGCTAACTGAGAATGGCTCCTTTTCGTTATCGATTACGATGTATGTGTAATGTAAATTGAATTAATGCTAGTGGAATATTACGGTGCGACTACACGTATATGGCGATAACAGATGGCCTTGGATTGACTCAGTGTGCTCGTTATCTTGTGAAATTAGCCTCATAGAGTTGTGTCTTTAATAAAGGCTTGATTAGAAGCAGCGGAATTTATTCTAGTGAAGTGCGGAAACACAAGTGTACGACGCGAGCGCGCCACAATTTTACGTTAGAATGGTAGTAAGACATAATGAGAGAAATACCTTACAATCTCTTATATACGGAAAGAATAGTTTTGTTAATAAATCTAAACATTTAACTAGATCTGGAAATAATTTTGTTGTTCTATTAAAATTATTATATAGAATATTTAAATACAATAATAATACTGCAAAAATTTTTCATCTTCTAATAATCAATTTGTCGTACATAATAATTCTAAAGGCCCAAAATTATTTTCAGATCTGATCAAATTTTTAGATTTAAGCAAAAGTGTTCTTTTCGTATAGTTCTGATCACGATGCTTCATTAAATGCTAATGAATTTTCGCGGAACGCGTAACAAAATGTTTGTCCATGCATGTCGCATTTTTCCGATTAATTATATAATCGAAAAGGATTATTGGAAGTATTAGTTATTGTGTACTTTAATTATACGGATTTTACGCTAGCTTATTCAGAGGTGCTCGCGGACTGATAATAAATATAAAATTAACACAGATGACATTTTCTCGCGCGATTAATCATAAAATAATGATATGACGGTCGATAGTCATGTACAATAATGGCACAATAAATATAAACATGATAAGTGCGCGTTGCAATGCAATTCTACGCGTTGAGCGAATCTCATGAAATTTTCAAGGAGAACCCAAATCAGAGTGAGAGCTTAAAGAGCGTAATGGAATGTCGCGCAGTCGTATGTGTAAATTGTCTAAAATTTCAAACGCTTGATCCGGACGTAACGAAGTAAAAGCGACATTCGTAACGAAGTAAAAGCGACATTCGTAACATCGATCGCCGCTTATATTTCGAATTCCAGAGACCAGAAACTTTAACCGGTAAACTCAAGCAATATCAACGTGGCAAGAGGGAAATCTCTCGTGGGCTCGCGCCGCATCCTTTGACGTGGATTTTTCCTGGCAAAGTTTCTTCAGTATCTCGTTCACGGCGGAAGGAAAAGTCGAACTAATAAAACCACGATTATCTGTGCCCTCTTCACAACAAGAATTTTCGCGACTGTGTGTTTAAGGGGATGCTAAACTGACGTACGAACTCCGACAAAACGTTCACACATCTACACATGCACATCTACACATACATAGATACATTTATGTATACACTCATACATACATTTCTGTACACACATGATGCACATATGAACAAATTTTGTGATATTCCTCTGATCGTAATAAGTGTCTAAGCCTAATTCTAAGAACTCAATGTTGCTTCTTCATGTAACCTTCTAGTCTAGCAATATCAGTTTTGTAGGTACAGTAAAGGTGTTTTGTAGATACTGTAAAAGTTTCATATAAAGCAAATATTTACGCGACTTGACTTTTGGACGCCATTTTACCAAATGATAAAAAAGATCAAAAAGATTAAAAAATTTTTTCTTGTTCTTGATACGAAATTTATATGCTAAGCATGTATTAATGTAAACTTTAATTGTGGAAAGGATTTCCAGATTAATAAAGTTAATGAAAAAATGAGAGCAATACAAAAATTACTGCGTTTTGTCGATAATATAGACAAGTTCAGTATCGCCTTAAGGCGATGCTGGAGATACCGACTGAGTTGATTATTTTCAGACAAGGTAATCTTTTCATTGATTATACAGAATTAAAAATCCTTTTTCAGAATTGAAGTATAGACAATAACGCACCCGCGTCTGTATATTTCATATAAAAGAGGAAAAAAAATTAGAAAATTACAATTTTGTTATCGACTTTTGAGGTTAACTTGTGACAACATTTTGTTGTACACAAAAGTTTAGACTTTGAACATATAAACAACACATACTCATCCAGGTCGGAATTATAAGGAAGAATAATACTATGCTTTTAAAAATATGCCAAGCAGCTGTATATAAGAGAATATTTTGCCTGAAAATTTTATGGATATGATGCGTGCCTATATGTATGAGTATATGTATGTATACATAAATGTATCTATGTATGTTTAGATGTGCATGTGAACATTTTCGTCGGAATTCGCCTCGTCAGTCCAGCATCGCCAGGTGACCGTAAAAACGGTCGGCTGGATTAAAACGCCGTCCGATCGACGGAATGGGAATGAAAAAAAAGATTCGCGTGCTGTTACCAATCAACTGTAATACGCGAGCGATTATTCGATCCGTATGAGGTATCGTACGATTGTCGATAATCCGTAACCTTGACCGACTTTACGATGCGATCGACTCCGTATACGCGACGTAAGAGAAACTTTAATTGATGGAATTATACCCGTGAAACATGTGCGCTAGATCAACTTATCGAGGCAGTTGTGTAAAACAATACGAATTGTGTCGGTAATTATTGAGGTCAAGTAACTTCAAGAGCATCATAAAAATAAAAAAGTAGGAAAACTATTAGGAAAACTATCGACAGTATTAAAGCGTCTTTTGTTAATAATTATTTAATT